TTATCTAGGTGCTCATCCTACACAGGGAACTAACCACCTGACCATGCATTGTTCCCTTCCTGAGCGCTCGCTGTGTACTGATCTGTAGCAGTGACAGGTAACAGGCTAGTGTCATGGAAGACACAGAGACTACACAGTTAGCAACCATAACAAGTGAGTTATGAGACACACACCATTTCAACAGTATAGCATGGGTAAGATTTTGTGTATATAATCCCTGCTCTCCATTCTACTGTTGAGATAACAATCCACTGAAGACTATGGGTACAACTTCATATTTATTTGTGATGACTTATTTAAAGGCTGGGCTTTCGTATAGTTGGGGGACTTACAAAGTATGTTGAATTAAACACCAATGCATGTGCACACAAGAGTTCTGGTGTCCTTGAAGGCCGGAGGGTGTCAGATCCCCTGGAGCTGGCATTAGAGCCAGTTGTGAGCTGCCTGACATTGGGTGTTGGGAACCAAACACAGGTCCTTTGCAAGTACACTATGTGCTCCTAACTTCTGCACCGCCTCCCGAGCCCGCTCCAAGCAGCTTTCAGTGTTAGTGCTGGTTCATAATTGATTGAAAGCCTGCCTGATCTCAGTCTGGAGCAGTTGCTTAGCAGTCTGCACCTTTGCCATTCATGTCTTCAGGCCGAGCTTCCCCAGGGACTGTACTCACTCCAGCGTACAATCTCTCCTCCTACCTGCTGTTAATCAGGAGGTGTTCCAGGTACTGAGGGAGCCAAGATGAGGCAGACAATAGCCTTGCCCTGGCCAACTTCTGTTTGGATTTTATTTGAAAAAAAAAAGTGTTATTTTATGCCATTGCTAACTCACAATAGAAGCAGATGCAATTCAGAGCTAAAACAAAGACTAGATTCACCTGCCAAGTATGGGGGGAGGGCAATAAGAACCCTGAAAAGGCAGGAAAAAGGACCTGCCACAGGACTCATGTAAATACTTTCAATCTTTGCAACCAGTAAGCATTTTATAATTTGAATTTTAGCTGCTTTAATCCTAGAACTGTGAAGGCAGAGGCAAGTTCTGGGCCAGCTTGGTCTACATTAGAGAGTTCCAGGTCAGCTGGAGCAACAAAGTGAGACCCTGTCTCAAAAGAACAACAAAACTAAATAAACAAATAATTAATAATTACCAAAAAAGTCATTTCAGCTTTTAAGATCAAGTGAGAATTACACAGATGCATTTAATATACATCATATATATTCAATGCTTACCACTTGGAAGCCCAGTGAACACTACTTTTTTTAAAACTGCACACACCTGGCTGAATATGGTGATACACATCTTTAGTCCCAGCAGTTAGGAGGCAGGGGTAGGCACATCTCTAGAAGGTCAAGGCCAACTGGTCTACCTAGCAAGTTCAGGCCAGCCAAGTCTAAAAAGTAAGACTTTGTCTCAAAAAAGCAAAAAGCAAAGTGCATAACCCATTGATGGCTGTTCAACACAATACTGTTAGTATAATTTACACTAATACAGGTTTCTGCCAACACAATTTCTTTCATGATCATGGCGATGCTGAATGATTGAAGCTGTGGCTTCAGTTAGCTGGGCTTAATAAGAAAGTTAAACCTTGGGGCTGGAGAGATGGCTCAAAGGTTAAGAGCACTGACTGTTCTGCCAGAGGACCCTGGTTCAAGTCCCAGCAAACACATGGTGGCTCACAACCATAATGAGATCCAACACCTCTTCTGTCATGTAGGCATACATGAAGACAGAACATTAAATAACTTAATCTTAAACAAAAAAAATTAAGAGATTCATGAGAACTTACTTTTTTTTAGAAAGGCAAAGCTTTCAGACCAACCAGAACTGAAACTAATAAGGTTCCAACTGTGATGAGCAGCTGCTCTACCTTTTCTTTAATATAATTTGACTTTTTTGTGACTTTCACACCATGCACCCTAATTCCAATCACCTCCAATCCCCCCATATCCTCCCCTCACCCTGCAATGCCCCCAAAAAAGAAATAAAAAAAAAAAAGATTTATTTATTTATTGTGTATACAGTGTTCTGCCTGCATGTATTCCTGCATACCAGAGGAGGGCACCAGATCTCATTACAGATAGTTGTGAGCCACCATGTGGTTGCTGGGAATTGAACTCGGAACCTCTGGAAGAGCAGTCAGTGCTCTAAACCTCTGATCCATCTCTTCAGCCCCCAAAAGAAAATTTTTAAGTCAAAACAAAACAAAGCAAACAAAACCTGTTATGAGTAGATTTTTCTGACAGCAGGGTCCCATAGCAGCGCCAGCCACAAATAACGCACAGAGACCCTGTATTAGATATAATGCTGTTGGCCTCTTACTAGCATTTCTTATTGGCTAGCTCTGCCTTATTAACCCATTCCTATCATCTAAGTACTTCCACGTGGTCTCATCTTACCGTAGAGACCTACCCTGTAGGTCCTTCATCTTGGAACTCCTCTCTACTACTTCCTCTTTCCTCCTAGTCTTCTAGTCCCGCCTACCTTGCTTTCCTATTGGCCAACAGTGCTTTATTCATTAACCAATACGAGAAACATATTTACAGAATGACATCTCCCATCAAAAGCCCCTCTTCAGTCCTCTACCTTTCTCGCCTCTTCAACACCTCTTCATTCATCCTGGTGGCACTGGAGCAGTGTGTCACATAGCAAATGTGACAAATTGAATCAGCTTTAATATCGAATCTTCATTGCAGTGAGTCACTGGTCTGGTTCAAGATGGCTGGTTTCTGGCACACCACTCACCGAAACTCCTCTGGAACATCCCCGGCTGCCCTAAGTCATGGAGACTAGTCCCTGCAACCACGAGCTTCCATGGGTCCCAGAAGGGGTAGATGTTAGTGTGGGTCAATGCCGGGTAGCAGAGCTGGTCAGTCCGGGCCCACCTGGGGCCACCCACCTCAGGCTCCCCTACACCCATGCCATCGGGCTGGTTCTCCCTTGCCTGGGGATGGCTGGGGCACCACTCCATGAGGGTTGGGACCAGCTCCATTGCTGCAGTGTCCAGTGAAGGGTGGGCCCTGAAGTGACCATGGACCCAGACATGGCCCTCGGCAGCACCATGGGACCAGATGACATTCTGGCTCTGGATGGAAGCACAGGCCACTCATATCAGGATGGCTCTGGTGGTACTGCCCCAACACCAATGAGGCCACGGGCATCGACTCCGACCCCAGGCTTCCATGTGAACTTTGGTGGCAACACTAGCCTTTGGACTACATCACGGATCTGGCTACAGTAGGACCACAGACACAGGCATGGCCCTTGGCTGCACCTGGCCTGGATGTCACCATGACACTATCCAGTATGTGTCACTCAGACCTGTATGGCCCCAGATGCAGTATGGTTCCAGGTGGCTGATCAGACCCCAGACAAACACACAGCCTTCAGTTACAAGAGAAACCACAGACTCAGACCCTGGCTGCTGTAGGGCCATGGACTCAGACATGGCCCTCACCAGTAACCCAGGCATGTAGGGCACCAGAGCCCTAAGTAGCAGCACAGACCACTCAGACACCAAGGCCACAGGCTTCTGTGTGGTCTCTACTGGCAACACGGGCCATGGATGCTAACATAGACCCTGGCTGTGGAGGACCACAGGTCCAGACATGGCCCTCGGCAGCAGCCAGGGCCGGGACATCACCATGGCCCCAGGTGGCAAAAAGGCCTCCACCTACTCCTCACAGCCTTCACTTCTGTTCCATCTCCACAGCACGTGACTGCTCTGCCTCTATCTTTATCCAAATATTTGCTCATCATAATGGGACCCACCTGCCCAGTGCACAAGGCCCGCGCCAGCATCGCCAGGGCGGCAGCAGGCTGTGGATCTCTGCCTAATCTTTTTGTTGGTATGTTTGTTTTTTGGGACAGAGTTTGTCTGTAGCTTTGGAGCCTGTCCCGGAACTTGTTTTTTGTAGACCAGACTGGCCTCGAACTCACAGACCTGCCTCTGCTTCCTGAGTGCTGGGATTAAAGGTGTGCACTACCACTGCCCAGCTTGCTGCTTAATCTTAAACTCAGTTTTTTTCATCATTATGGGTAAATTTTTAGTTAGAAAGCCTAGCATTAGGGTTACATAGCCATCAACACAAGACTACTACTTATACTTTAAGTTCATTTTTCATGCCTTAAACCAACCTTCCTAATGCATTGCCTCTTTAAAACAGTGCCCCATGTTGTGATCCCCACCATAAAATTGTTTTTGTTGCTATTTCATGACTATATTTTTGCTACTGTTATGAACCAGTGTATAAATATTTTTGGAGACAGGTTTGTCAAAGGGGTCATGACCCACAGGTTGAGACTCACAGCCCTAAATGAATGCATTTTGCAGCTGCAGGGAACATTCCTAACCCTAACCCAGCCCTCAGCCCCTAGCCCCAGGGAAGCTCTGCTGCTGCTCTGTGAGCTACTTGAACTTGGGCAGTAATTCCTTTTCTCCTTAAGTAAAAAGTTGGCTCTGGGGGCTGGGGCGCTGGCTCAGATGCTAAGAGCTCTTACAGAGATCCCCATATCCACATCAGGTGACTCCCATACCCGGGGATCTGACACCCTCTGGCCTCTGTGGGTACTTGCACATAAATTGGCAAAGACAGGCAGGCAAGCAGGCAGGCAGGCAAGCAGGCAGGCAGGGGCACGCGCGCGCGCGCGCGCGCACGCACGCACACACACACACACACACACACACACACACACACACACCATCCCCTTCCCATGGCTCTGGTGCTTGGAAGACAGCTCAAAGGATAAAGCATCGGGGCTCGAGCTCAGTTTCCCAGCACCACATAAAAAGCTGGGGCAGCTGTGTGCCCTGTAACCCCAGGGCTTGGAGGCAGAGAAGGGAGGACCTCAAGAAATTGTCTGGTCACCCATTCCAGCAGAATCAGGTGGCTCTAGGTTGACACACCACAGGCATCACACACACACACACACACAATTATCATTTATGGTTTCTAAACAAAAACCCAAAACACACATTTTTAAACCAATACACTAAAAGTAATCCAATGTCAGTACATGAAATTATTTAGTATTTTTTTCTCCATGATTGAATATACAAAGATAACGGAAGTAGAGTATTCTTCTGCTGTAAAGACGGGTGGAATATGTCAAAATCCACTCGCTGGATTTTCTTCAAATAGTCCTCTAGTGTAACCTGGGAAAGAGAGCATTGTCAGTAGATCATAAAGCGAGCAAGCTTCCCCAACAAACTAAAGAAAAAGTATAGCTGGACACGGTGGCCACACCTGCAATCCTAACTCAGAAAACTGCACCAGGTGGATTGCCAAGAGTGTGAGGTCAGCCTGTGCTACTTGGTGAAATCAAGGCCAGCTTGGGCTAAAAAGTTAGACCCCCATCTCAAAAAAAAAAAGAAAAAAATCAGATATGAGTAAGAGAAGGCTGGAAGCAGTACCAGCCTGGGCTTCATAGAAAGACTGTTTCAAAGAAAGAGAGACAGTACAAGTACTAAAGCAACTTTAGTTTCCTGAGGTGACATGACATAATAAGAAAAACATTCTTTCCCCCAAGACAATGTCTCTTTATGTAACCCCAGCCAGCCTAGAACTCCTGACCCTACAGCCCAAGCACTGGCTTACTTACAAGCGTGCAGGACTGCAGCCAGTCCATGAAGTGCTGATTTAGCTGGTCAGGCACTGGCCTACATGCCCACCCTCACAGCCACCGGAAGTTGATTCATTTTGCACTCCATGGTCCTCAGACAATGTCCATAGCAGGGTGGGTGTCAAACAAGGGCTACTTAGGCCGATTGCAGACTTTTTATTGTTGTGTGTGATGTGTGTGGGACTCAGAAGGGCTGGCTCTCTTCTTCTACCATGAGCTCCAGACCAGATCCTCAGACTAACCCCACAAACGCCTCCCTGGCCCCACACCTGAGAACTGTGTGGACCAGTCTCTTCTACCTCTGCCTTCTGGGGATGGAATTCAGATCAATAGGCCTATATAAGAAGCACCTCTAGCCCAGGTGGTGGTGGCCTTTAATCCCAGCACTCAGGAGGCAGAGGCAGGTGGGTCTCTCTGAGGCCAGCCTGGTCTATAGAGTGAATTCCAGGGCAGCCAGGGCTACACAGGGAAACCCTGTCTGAAAAACCAAAAGAAAAAGAAAAGGAAAGAAGCCCCTTTACAGCTGAGCCATGTCACAGCCCAGCACCCAGGAATCTGACTCAGGAAAATACCTTTTAAACAAGCCTTCCAGGTTACTCTGATGCAGCCAGCTCAGCAAGGACCTGTGGGCTGGCACTACTGTGTGTTCCGGTCACCATGGAGACACACTCACAAGGTGGTATCTTCTATCATTCCCATTTTACTGATGAGTACACTGAGGGGTTACGGAAATGAAGGCCCATGGCTACAGAGAGGAGAGCAAACCCAGTGTGGCCTGGCTGCAGAGCCTGTGCCCAGGACCACCCAGAAGTACAGGTGTGGCCACTCAGAGTAATCACTGCCCCCAGGAGGCAGTGAACCAGAGCCAGGACTGGACAAAACTAACCCTGAGAACTGGCCCCAGTCACAGGACCCAGCCTTCTCGGCTGAAGCACTCACCGTCTGAAGAAAAGCAGGAAATGCTTTAGCAGGGACGCTTCTGTGGAAGGACCTCGCCTTAAAGGAAAGGAAAAATCTGGTTGGAATGCGTCTGAAAAGTCTCCCTCTGAGGGTGAGCACAGTTCAGACAAAAGCAGCAAACAGCCACCTCCTGCGGCCAGCTCAGCTTCAAAGGCAGCTGTGTGTAAACCCTCTTCCTTGTAGGGGTGGCTGGGGACATCCAACTCCCTGACATCTCCCCTAACTCTGCCCCTCAGCCCTGCACTAACACTTCCCTAGCTTGGCTCCCTGTGTAGATCTATTGCAGATAACCCTCTCTGGTGGTCTCCTGCCTCTAGTCTAGCTCACTCAACACTGGTGAGTCCATGTTGTTACAGAATTACATCATCTTAATCAGGGATGGCTATTCTTCCTGAACTCAGATGCCTCAGTATTCAACCCCTAGTCTCAAGTCAACCTGACTCTGCCAGGCCCACTCGGGCTGGTGCCATCAGCGGGCACTGGCCAGACCTAGCCTTGTCCCCAGGCCTTCGTCTGCATTGCCTCTTACACCCTGCCTCTACTTCCTGACTGCACACTAGGGTTTTATGCCCCGAGATCACCCACAGTTTGCTATACCGTGGTCACCTTTCTCTCGGCCTCTCTCAGCTTTCTTCTCCGCTCCCGGATGCAGCCCCAAGCCCCCGTCTGCCCTTTGCCTTCTTCCTAACAGATGGCCCTGCTTCCTTCCACTCCATGAATGGATGTGGCCGCAGGGCTCTGTCCCTCATCCTCATCTAGAGGCACACTCTGCTTGAGCAACAGCACCCAGAAAGTGACTCTCACACGGTGACTCCAATTCTGACCTTCCCAAGTCATAATCCTGCATCCTCCAGTAGCCCATCTCCCTAAATGTCAGTCCTCTCAAATCCACCTACAGCCAGGACAAAGATCAGCACACCGCTGTGTGGCATCTCTGACTGGCACTGGTTGACTTTGTGTGAACTCACTGTGCAGCCTCTGACTTGCTCTCCTCACCACCTTGTGACAGTCAGTTACCAAGTTTCATTGTGGGTGTGGGCACACGCACATGCATCTCCCTCTAAAAACACCGTATCCTTCTCCAAGTAAACTGAACAGTGGAAAGCACAGCCGTGTCAAGCCCCGACCCCCACACCTACGCAATGGCAAAGGCTTCCACTAGTCTCTGTGGATGCTGACACATGTGTGGAAGCTTATCAGTTTATCGCCTGAGACCACTCTCCTACAGAACCTCTCACTGACACTAGCTAAGCCTTCCTCCTGGTGCTCAGATACTAAACACTGGTTTCCAGCAACAACTGTCCTCAGAGTGAGCACACACCAGCTGGTCCTAGTTTTCCTGTCTCTGCTGACACTTCTTCATTCCTGAGAAGCTCCAGTGAGGTCCAGGACCAAGCTGTGTGGGCCAGATGTGACGAGACACTAACTCATCTCCCAACCTTCCCCCCACTAAAACTATGTGTACATTTGTGTGTCTGTCTGCTCATGAGAGCAGGTGCCCAGGGAGGCTAGAGGCATCGGGTCTCCCCTGCCCCCAAGCTGGAGTCACAGGTGGTGGTTCTAGGCCACCTGATGTGAATGTGCGGATTGAACTCAGGTCCTGTAGCAAGAAAAATCTGCTCTCTTAACCATTGAGCCATTTGTCTCCAGTTTCCCATCCTTCTTGTCTCAAACGCTGCTAGAGTCAGGCATGGTAGCACACACCTATGTTTCAAAGCACACACACAGCAAAACCCAGTCTCAAAAACCCAAAAGCAGCAGAAACAAACAGAACCCATTTCTGCCTGTTTTCTACTGCAGCACTAATATCACAGCTTTACTCCATGGGGACAAACTAACTTATATTGCACTTACTACATGGCAGGTGCTATTATGAACTCTTTATATGTTAGCTCATCTATCTAAATAATACTTTGGGTAGGAAGTACTACGATCCTCCTATCTATGTGGGAGCTGGGGCATGGTGAAGTTATAATGCAATCAATAATCACAGGACTAGATTACAGCCAGGCTTCTGCTTCTGAGTGTATACCAGCATCCTCCACGTTCTTGAATTTCTCAAAAGCCTCCAAAGAACCTCGATGGTTCTTCAACCCAGCGCTCCAATTATTTTCTAGGAGTGGATTGCATGTAACCAGTAAGTGGGCAGCTTTCAGTCCTAGCCACTGAAATCACTTAGAAGCCAAGGATTCAAGCTCTCGGGCAGCTTTCCTAAGATGCGGAAGAACCCTGAGTTGATCCCGAACACTACACAACAAATAATCTTTTTTCAATTTTTTAAATTAATAATTTTTCATTGTTTGTTTGGTTGTTTGGGACAAGTGTGTCTGTGTAGCCCTGGCTGTCCTGGTACTACCGCTGTAGAACTCAGAGGTCTGCCTGCCTCTGATATTAAAGGCAGGTGCCACTATGTCTGGCCACAACAAACAAACTAATAAAACACTTTGGAAATTATAACTCTCAGTTTAAGTTACTCTATCAATTTCCAGGTAGAAAGGCCTAGAACTTGGAATTTGGGAGAGGTAGATCTCTGTGTATTTGCAGCTGGCCTGCTCTACACAGTGAGTTCTAGACTATCCAGGGCTGTCTAATGGAACCCTATTTCAAGAAAGATTTAGTCCACCTTCACAATTACACACACACGGTGAAAAAAAGTGTCCAAAAGGAATTAAATAGAAAGTGAAATGACTGTTCACAGACATCTCATTAGAGTGGCTAGGACACATTAATTGAGCATGAGGGACAAGCTGGGATAAGGAGCGTTCCGGAACCTCCATGGTAACAGGGAAGCAGAGCACTCACTCAACAGGACAAGACCCAGGAAGTCCGAGCCAGCTGTAAATCCAGCAGGCAGCAGCAACAAGCCCGGACATAAAAGGGGCAACCGAGATGCAGCTGTGGATGGGGTCCAGCAGGGAGACAGACTGTGCATGGGTCCAGCAGGGGAGGCAGACTGTGCATGGGTCCAGCAGGGAGACAGACTGTGCATGGGTCCAGCAGGGGAGGCAGACTGTGCATGGGTCCAGCAGGGAGACAGACTGTGCATGGGTCCAGCAGGGGAGGCAGACTGTGCATGGGTCCAGCAGGGAGACAGACTGTGCATGGGTCCAGCAGGGGAGGCAGACTGTGCATGGGTCCAGCAGGGAGACAGACTGTGCATGGGTCCAGCAGGGAGACAGACTGTGCATGGGTCCAGCAGGGAGACAGACTGTGCATGGGTCCAGCAGGGGAGGCAGACTGTGCATGGGTCCAGCAGGGGAGGCAGACTGTGCATGGGTCCAGCAGGGAGACAGACTGTGCATGGGTCCAGCAGGGAGACAGACTGTGCATGGGTCCAGCAGGGGAGACAGACTGTGCATGGGTCCAGCAGGGAGACAGACTGTGCATGGGTCCAGCAGGGGAGGCAGACTGTGCATGGGTCCAGCAGGGAGACAGACTGTGCATGGGTCCAGCAGGGGAGACAGACTGTGCATGGGTCCAGCAGGGAGACAGACTGTGCATGGGTCCAGCAGGGAGACAGACTGTGCATGGGTCCAGCAGGGGAGACAGACTGTGCATGGGTCCAGCAGGGAGACAGACTGTGCATGGGTCCAGCAGGGGAGGCAGACTGTGCATGGGTCCAGCAGGGAGACAGACTGTGCATGGGTCCAGCAGGGGAGACAGACTGTGCATGGGTCCAGCAGGGAGACAGACTGTGCATGGGTCCAGCAGGGAGACAGACTGTGCATGGGTCCAGCAGGGAGACAGACTGTGCATGGGTCCAGCAGGGGAGACAGACTGTGCATGGGTCCAGCAGGGGAGGCAGACTGTGCATGGGTCCAGCAGGGAGACAGACTGTGCATGGGTCCAGCAGGGGAGACAGACTGTGCATGGGTCCAGCAGGGAGACAGACTGTGCATGGGTCCAGCAGGGAGACAGACTGTGCATGGGTCCAGCAGGGGAGGCAGACTGTGCATGGGTCCAGCAGGGGAGACAGACTGTGCATGGGTCCAGCAGGGAGACAGACTGTGCATGGGTCCAGCAGGGAGACAGACTGTGCATGGGTCCAGCAGGGAGACAGACTGTGCATGGGTCCAGCAGGGAGACAGACTGTGCATGGGTCCAGCAGGGAGACAGACTGTGCATGGGTCCAGCAGGGGCAGCAGCGTGGGCCCCGAAGGCAGACACAGTCTGTGGGTGAGCAGGGAACCCAGGTGAGAAAGCTCAGGCTCCTCACTCACAAAAGGGTGTGTTCACCAGCTGAGGGCAGGAAGGGGCTTTTCTAGAGTAGGAAGTTTCCAAGAGTCCCTGAGATAAACCCTGGGAATCCAATGAACAGTGGAATGAGACTGCCAAGGTCAGAATCAAGAGTGTGCTACAGAAATGCTATCATGTGTATACAAATCCAGTGTCTTAGTGAGGGTTCTATTCTGTGATGAGACACCATGGCCACAGCAACTCCTATACAGGCAAACAGGACACTGTGATCTCAGCTTGTAAGACCTGAAAGCCGGCCTCCACAGTGACATACTTCCTCCAACAAGGCCACACCTCCTAATAGTGCCCGTCCCTATGGGCCAAGCATTCAAACACCTGACTCCATGGGGCCATACTTGGCTGTGGAAAATTTAACTATGTAAAGATGCATAGTATTTGTTTATGCTTTGGAATATTACTTTAACTGTATAAAGATGTATTGCATCTGCTTCACCTTGCCTGCCTGAGGTATCTGATTGGTTTAATAAAAAGCTGAACAGTCAATAGCTAGGCAGAGAGGGATAGTTGGGGCTGGCAGGCAGAAGGGGTAAGTAGGAGGAGAAATCTAGGCTAAGAGAGAGGAAAGAGAGAGAATGAAGGAGAAAGAGAAGGGCATACCCAGAGCCAGATGCCAGGCAGCTGCCAGTCAGGCAGGAGAAGCAGGAAACGCAGGACACACAGGAAGGAAGGAAGGAAGGAAGGAAGGAAGGAAGGAAGGAAGGAAGGAAGGAAAGAAGGAAGGAAGGAAGGAAGGAAGCCATCCAGCAAGCCCCGAGGCAAAACACACATGAAGAGAAACAGGCTGTCATAAGAGCTAGCAAGAACCGAGCCTAAGTTAAGGCTGAGTGTTCACAGCTAGTAACTCTTCGTGTGTAGGAGCTGGCTGATGGCCCAAAAGGAAGCCTGGTATAAAGCCTATTCAGACCATGACAGATAGCATGCCATGGAAACAGCCCCGTCTAATAGTGACAACTCCCTAAACAACTGGGTAAAGGAACTACTCACATGCTTTAGGTGCAAGTGTGCCTGGCTGGCAATGTCATATATTACATCTCTCACATTTCTATCTTGTTTCCTCTGTAGAAAGTCCTCCTGTGAAACACCATGCTGTGAAGAAAATATAATTTCAGGAATCTACAAGCACACTTAAAATCAATATTGCTTAAGAAAACAGGCAGAGACAAACACATGTAGATATAGGACCATGGCTAATTTTAAAACTGTGTGTGTTTAAGTAATGGTCAATCTCCCTTATCAATTTGATCGGCTATATACTCAACTAAGAGACATGTGTGTGAGACATGCGTGTAGGTGGGTCTGTGACCGTATTCCCCGAAGGTTAACTAAGGGGAAGATATCCTTCCAGATGGGCAGACATAGAATGTCTGAATGAAAAGCAGTGCTGTTTTTGCCTGCTACCCTTGCTCCTTGTGGTGAGTGCATCTGCCATGCTGCAGTCATCCTTCACTGACGCTGGAGGACAGCTCCTCTGGCCTTCAAATGTACACTAAAGAGCTACAGCTCTCCAGAAACCCCCAGACCTTCAGTGCCAGGCTGGGATTGCTGTGGCATCTAGCCACGGGGACTGACCACGCTCTCAGCCTCTCCTGTGGGCAGGCAGTCCATGACGCAAGCCAGTGTTATAGACCCGTTAGAATACATAATCATTCTACTAGTTCTGTTTCTCTAGCAAACCCCAACCATTACAGTGTGTGTGGTGTATGGAGAGAGAGAACATAACAAAATACAAAAGGATTAAAAGAAGGGCTGGAGGGATGGCTCAGTGGTTAAGGGCACTTTTGCTCTTGGCGAGGACCTGGGGGCTCCCGGCTCAGCTCCCACACCTGTTGGCTCAGAACTTCCTGCTCCAGAGGGTCTAAGAGTCTCTCTGGCCTTCACAGGCACTAATGGGCATATATACACATTCACATATTCATACACATACAAAATATAGGTTTTTAAAAGTTTAAAAGGGCAGACGGTAAAGAACCTCATTCAAAACCAGTCACATTTTCAGACACTGCGCCATCTCTCCAGCCTCTGATAAACATTTTTAAAAGACATGCTCCAGCGGGTGAGGTGGCCAACACCTGTAATCCCAGTACTGGAGAAGTGGAGACAGGAGGGTTACAAATTCAATGCCATCCTCAGCCACTTAAAGATTCAAGACTTCAAGTTCAGCCTGAACTACCAGAGTGATGGGGGGTGTCCGTCTGTAAATGTTTCTCTTATTGGTTAAAGAATAAAACACTGCTCAGCCAATGAGGCAGGAGGATAGGCAGGTCTAGGAGACAAGGAGAATTCTGGGAAACGTAGAAAGACTGAGTCGTCATGTAGAGCCTGGGAAGAGAGGACCCTCTGGGCATTCTCCAGTAAGCCAGGACCACATGGAAATCTATAGGTTGATAGAAATGGGTTAATAATTAAGACAGTGCTAGCCAATAAGAAGCCCAAGCCACTGAACAACAGTTTTATAATTAATGTAGTGTCTGTGGGTTTATTTGGGGCTGAAGGGCGGCAGCAGTACCCTGCAAGGCCAGAAAAGTTTCAACAATGAGAGAACTTGTCCCCAAAACAAAATCAACAAATGCTATTCTTACTGATAAAATAAATGACAAACAGACCCAGGTGAGGTTACTATAACTACGTGAAGGGACTTAGTCACTGGCAAGGAGGTGCAGGCTATCCAGGCCGTCTTTCCTAGCTGAGTATCTCAGTAAGCAGGGCAAAAGCAGGAAGTGGTGTGCCACATCTCAAACAGCAAGGGAAGAAACAAAAGAAACGAAGAGCGACTCCGCTCGCTCCTGCCGCCCTCAGGGAGCCATCAGCAGGTCACCGCCTCACCTGCACACAGACATCCATGGGCAGGAACACTTTCCTCCGGCTGCCATGATAGGGTGTCGCTCTCAAGCACGTGACAATGCCTTGTGCCTTTCCAATGTGGCTCGCGGCATGGTCTGCATGAAGATCCTTCACGCCTAGAATGACAGACACCAAAAGGGGTTGCTCTATTGCCCTTGAAGCATAGTAAACCAAGAGAAATGGCATGAGACATCATCTGAACCCAGAAAAAGTATTTATCCTGTTCAACATCTGGAAAATAGGATTTATGAGGGAAAGTGGGTGCCAGGGATGAGCCAACCATCTTCCTGCTAGTAGGTATCCAAATGTGCACTCGTTAACTCTCCAACTTTAGCACACACACAGAATTTAACCAAATTTTGTGGAAAACTTGAGTGTTTTCTTTCTTTCCTCAAAGCAATTTCATAACAACCTTACTTTTAGGGTGCAGAAGGACCAGCCTGGGACATTCAACAGGAACTGTACTCTGGGTTCTGACATAAAGACAGATCACTCTCTTCAAATAAGATACTACTGTCCTTGGCCCCAATAATCTCCTCCTTATAATAAGATGCCAACAACTTGGAACAAGCTCAGATGAAAAGTGCCATTTCAAATGTTCTTAAAGGAGAGGAGAAAGAAAAATCTCATGAAACTGTGTAAGTATAGTTTTGCTCTATCCCTCCCCGCCATGGGGCAGAATTCTTGACAGGGAAGAACTGAAGTTCAGCCCCTCCTGCTCCTGTGAGAGTCTGAGCACTTAGGAGTCTGCACTCCGAAGAAGATGAATGCACACGTGTAAATGGAGTCCAAGCTGGCCTAGATAATAAAAACCCGGAGTCAGATATAGAGGAAATGCTGAGAGATCAGGGAGAAGGCGGCTCGAGCCACAGCCACCTTTACCTCATTAGTTTCCCAGCAGAAAAGAGAGCGAGTTCCTGTTTCCTCCCATTTACATCCTCTCTCCGCCCAGCCATCCCACTTCCTGTCTGTCTGAACAGACCTCACTTCCTGTCTGAACAGATCCCTGACCTCTATGGTTAGCTAGTGGTGAGCGCCATCCTCTGATCTGCAGACAAGCTTTATCAGTACAAGCAAGACCACACACAGACAGATAACAGAGGTGTTCCCTTACTTCCTATTAAAAACAAAAGTCGGCTGGTAGAGCACACCTTTAATCCCAGCACTCAGGAGGCAGAGGCAGGAGGATTTCCGTGAGTTAAAGGATTGCTTGGTTTACATACTGAGTTCCAGGTTAGCCAGGATTACATCAAAAATAAATAAAAGTTGTGGCTAGGCATGATAGCACATTCTTGTAATCAAAGCCCTTAGGGAAGCTGAGGCAGGAGGATTCACGCTAGTTTGAGACCAGCCTAGTGTGTACAGTGAAGCTGTCTCAAAGGGGAAAAACTGTTACTTCATGGACAATACAAACAAACTTAGAAATGCAGTCTGAGGCATAAAGGGGAAAGCATCTTACCCAGCACCTCCAGTGTCAAGTAAAGAAGAGAGCTCTGTGTGTTCTCAGCATAATTCTCAAGCTCCTGGATATTGCGATATGCTCTGTCATCAAGATTCTTTTCCTGAAGTCAAAGAAAACACAAATGAAGGTGCTGAATTATTACTCTAGAATGAAAAGTGCTAATTTTTTTTTTTTTTTTTTTTTTTTTTTTGCCTGAAATAAATCAGAATGTCCTTGCTGAGATCTTTTAAGTTTACCTTTAACTAAGAGACTAAAAACAAATGAAAAAAAGATGTCAGAATTCATATAATCTACATTTGTCACTCTTTTCCAGTCAAACCAGAAGAACTCAGAGGTGAGAAGTCGTTAGTTAGCTTTCTTTTACAATTTAAACCATTCAAAGACCTACAGAATATGGCGTTTAAAATGGTTAACTAGGGTTTTTCATGACAGTGAGACGCAACCGTTCCTGGCAACACCAATTACATCAGAGAGGAAGATGGGCATCCAAGAAACTTGTTGTGGAGTTTGCCTTCAACATGAAAGGAATGCCCATTTGGACAAGAAACTGCTCTCGCCTGGACAGCCTGACAGCATGCACACTATCCACACTGAACACACAGGTCACAAAGAAAAGTGACTGCTGAACTTGCCAAGGAACAGGACGGCCATTCAGAAAGTCTGCCAGACATTCTGGGCCTGTAGGCTGAAGAAGGATGCCCCAATGTTACAGAGGAACTTTGGGTGACTGTCCAGGCAGTGAGATGTTTCTCTCAATTCTAGAGTTTGTATATTATCCTTCTGGAGTCTTCGATGGAGTTGAAGACAGAGAGTATGGCTATGGTTTTCCTTAGTTATGATAAAAGGTAAGTTACACATAAAACTTTAGGCTCACAAAAATAGATTGACAGAATATTTTATTTACATTTTGACAAATGTTAATGGGCTAAATATTGTAATTATAATTCTTGACTGATAACTGTTTTGTTCTATATAATCTTTTACTATGTTAAAGTTAAAACCTTCCTTTTTATTTAGACAGAAAAGAGGAACCGATGAGGGGTGTCCTGCATGCTGTGCATATGCTTCTCCTATTGGTTGATGAATGAATGCTGATTGGCCAGTAGCCAGGCAGGAAGTACAGGTGGGTCTACCAGACGAGGAGAATTCTGGGAAGAGGAAGGCAGAGAGAACCACCAGCGAGATGCCATGTCGCGACTGGGAAGATAGGAAGCCAGGCATTCTCTGGTAAGATGAGGCCATGTAGAAATATAAATTAATAGTTATGGGTTAATAAGTAAGATAGAGGTAGCCAGTAAGAAGCCTAAGCCATTGGTCAAACAGTTTATAATTAATATATGCCTGTGTGTGTTTATTTGGGACTGAAGGGTGGCAAGGCTAGGCAAAACAGAGACCTCCATCTTCACTTAACAGATTTGTGTAGTGCACAATAAAGATTAAAACATAGCTAGGCATGGAACTGGAGTGGTACTTCGTGGCTAAGAGTCCTTACTGCTCTTGCAGAGACCCAGGCTTTGTTCTTAGCATGCCAGGGATCCAATGTTCCCTGACCACCTCAGACACACCTACACATGCTGTATGAAACATTCATGCAAAGTAGTTATACATATAAAATAACTTTAAATATAGTTTTCATTCTATATAATCTTTTTAAAATTCTGAATAAATGCCAAGCCAGCCAGGGCTACCTGAGACCCTGTCTCAAAAGACAAGAATAATTCCCTACCCCAATCAAAGTCTTACATATCAGTGCTAACAAATCACCTCTCAAAATAAGGCTCAAGAGTAGCTGGAAGGGACAACCCTGCAGGCACTGGGGTTCCCTTCTTCAGTTCTTATTGGTTGCTCACAGTCTCTGTCTATTTTATTGCTGAGTTAAAAGAGTCCTGACGTATGGTAGATATTAAGCATTTACCAGATAAGTGACTGACAACGTATTTCCCATTCTCCCTAGGTTTTCAACTGTTTGAAGCATTTAATCTTGATGAATTTTAATCTACTCTTTTCTTTTTTCCTATCTATGCCTTTGGTATCATCTTTTAGAAACATCACCTAACTTTAAATCACAAAGATTTACAGTTTACATCAATGTTTTTTCCAAAGTTTTGTTTTGTTTTTGGATCTTTAATAGGCCATCAAACTAAATTGCTGACTTTCAGATACACTGTGAGGAAGGGGTCCTGACTCAGTCTATTTATTTATTTAGCTTTAATATTACTGTACCTAAGAATGACCTTGAACCTTCACCCCACATGCCCAGTGCTGGGATACAGAGCTGCACCACGACACCTAGCTAGAGTCCTTTTGCAGCTGTATACCCTGCGGTCCCTGCACTATCTACTGAAACAATACCTTTCCCCTGAATTGTCCAGATACTCTTGCCACTCAACTGACCATAAATATACTCATAATTGACTGACTGATATAACTGTGTGTCTGAATATATGACAGCAGGTATAATGGTTGCATATGGACATGTGGTGGTCAGAGGACAACTCTGGGAAGCCAGCTCTCTCTTGTCACTTTTGGGACCAAGGGGTCAAACTCATGACATGAGGCTTCTGCAGCCAGCACTTTTACTTGCTGAGCCATCTTGCCTGGCCCTGTACTCTACTTTATACCACTCATCTGTATGTCCGTCCTCTGCCAATACCACAGTTTGATGACTACAATGTTACAGCTACGCTTTCATATAAACAGCTTATTAACTGAACGAGGAGGAGAGGATGACGATGGAGGAGGAGAGGATGACGATGAAGGAGGTGAAACTTAGATGAGGCCTGCATCACAAGTGCAGCTTCCAGCAAGCTGGACATGATGGGACACACCGGTAACCCTGCACCCCACAGGAGCAGCTAGGTGACCTATCAGAAGCTCTAGAACAGGGTGACCACATGGAGCCTGGCCTTAAAAAAAAAAAAAGGTAACCTGAGTCCTTTACTTTACCCAGTCTCCCTTCAGCCACTAAATGTGGGAATGAGTATGATGGCATACTCTTGTAGCCCAGTACTCAGGAGACTGCTCCAAGTGAGAATTCTAGTGAGTTCCAGGTCAGTCAGGGAAGAGACACACAGTGAGACCCAGTCTCAAAACCTTTTAGGGCTGGAGAGATGACTTGGTGTTGAGAGCATTTGCTGCTCTTTCGGGTGACTCTGTTGATTGTCAGCATAAAGTCTGTCTACAATGACTAAAACCAACTAACTCCCATTCCGGAAGATTCAACACTTTTTCTGGTTTCCTTGGGCAATGCACACACATGGTGCTATATTTGCAGGCAAAACACCTATACACATAAAATTTAAAAATCTTAAAAAACGGTAATAATAACTTAGGGGCCAGGGATGTAGTTCAGGGGGTAACATCCATAAACCCAGCACAGCATGAACACTAGGAGCAGAACTGACCAATCGGAGCCCATTCTGTATGGAGAGACAGGGGTGCGGGCGTGGCGAGGGGCCTTGGTCCTGCCTCAATGAGATGATGGGGACAGACTTAGAGGACTTCCTAGGGGAGGCCTTACCCATTCCCAGGAGCAGATGGGGGCGGGGAAGGTGTAGAGGTAGGGGAGGAGAGGAGGGAGGGGGAACTGCGATTGGAATGTGAAAATTAATAAAAAATAAAGAAAAGGAAACTAGGCACAGTGGCACAGACCTGTAATCATTATAAGCAAGAGGATGAGAAGTTGAAGGTCATCCTGCACCAGTGAGTTCAAGGACAGCCTGGGCTATCTGAGACCCTGTCTGAAAAAAAATTAAAGTGTAAGTAAATAAAGTAGATGTGCATTGTTCTGATAACGGTGTGTGATTAAATATTGGGCTGAGGAGGACACTGACCCAAAACACATTAAAAGGGCTACAAAACTGATGGCGGGGCCCAGAGCCGAAGCAGCTGGGTTGGGTCAGAATTTAGCACTGAGCAGTTAACAGTGGTGATCTCCGCCCCTGGGACCTCATTGTCTTTACTCCTTAGACACCATCTAAGAGCAGGGCAGACGTGTGGCCAGCCTTACCAGAGGTCACTTGAGCAGTTGGTGGCGGCAATAAATGAGTCATTTCTAAGGTACGGTGGTCACGTGTAGTCAGTGATGTTCTTCAGAAGGCTTTCTCCTATTTGCTTTCTTATCCACTGACCTACTTTTTGTAGTGCTATGGATTAAACGTAGCGTTGCAAAGTTTTACCACTGAGACACATCCCCAGGCCAGGAAGTCTTTCCTTCTAAGATACCTATGTGTTTACTGATCAAATGATACAACTCCTAGTCAACCCCTAGTTTACTTTTTTAAAATATCCAGTGGAGTCAATGAAGACAGAATATACATGAAACAAGATCAGATATCTGGGTGTGGAGACCTATTCCCCTTTGTCTGTAATGCCTGTAATTACAGGCCTTGGAACACACGAATGCACGCGCACGCGCGCACACACACACACACACACACACACACACGCACACACGAGCCTAGGTGCCAGCCTCTACCTGACTGGCAGTAGGGAGTGAGGTGACAGGTACGGCATATCAGGACGGACTACAGATAAAATACCTTTGTTCTCTAGTTTCCTTCCGCTGAAAGATTAACACGCATACAAAAATTTTTCCTCCATGAATAATTAACCTAAGGATCAAGAAGGGAAAACACTTAAGACTTAGGCAATTCCAACTTACCCTTTCATCAATGATTCTCAAAAGCCATCTTTTAGTTAGATTATGTCTCTTGACAGCCTAAAAAAACAAGAGCGTTGTTACTGTTTAGAAGGTACTAGAAATGACTTCTCTAGATATTAACAAAATACACCATACAATGCAAGTTAGGTAAGAGAACACTTGTTACCGCTCATCAGATAGGCAGCCATGCTGACAAGACATCAGGAGAAAAGCAATGACCTAGGGAGTCACATCAGGCCATTTCCAAGTAGAGTGACTTTGTATGTAAATAGAGTGACTTTGCATGTTTCCCACAGCCTTTTATCCCGCTGTCCTGGAACACATCTAATGATTCTACGCTCTTCCTTTTTCTTTTCTTCGTTTTCAAGTTAGGTGCCTTCATTTTTTGTTTTATTTTGACAACATTTCTCCCTTCCCTTCCCTCCTCTACACCCCCCCATGCCCGATTACACTTTTAAATAAAATCAAGAACCCAGTGGTGAGCTGCCAGCTGCCATACCTGACTTCAGTGCTCACATACTACATTCAGTCTTTCCCAGCACAGAGTCTCATTAGCAAAAATAACCACTTCCCCTAAGTGAAGAGCAACTAAAACGCGAGAACAACAGGGCATGGTTCCACACATTTGTAACCCCAGTATTTGGTAGCCCAGGAAGGAGGATCATTGTAAGTCTGAGTCTGAGCTATAGAGTAAGGCCCAAATAAATAAACAAACAGACAAATAAATAAATGGCAGTGACACGGTGGACAAGGTTCTCTCAGTAGTGACACCGTGAGAAGCATACATTTCCTATTGAAGCCCTCCACCAAGAATTCATACCCTACACCTAATGAGAAAATGTTAAGACAAACCCAAAATGAACGTCCAGAGAGGAAAAAAAACACGTTGAAGACTGACTACTCCTTAAGAAAATGGCTGGATGGTGGTGGTGGTGCACGCCTTTAATCCCTGAGCTCAGGAGGCTGTGGCAGGCGGATCTCTGGCTTTGAGGCCAGTCTGGTCTACAGAGTGAATTCCAGGATGGCTAGGGCTTCACAGATAAACCCTGTCTTGGGGGTGGGGTGATGTCAAGTGGGGTTGCCTAAGAGGGGGCCTGGTGGGGGGAGGTACATGGTGGGGTGGAGGCAGGCTGGAACTCTATGGTACAGTTTGTGCCTAGTATGTGAGAAGTCCTAACTTCAGTCTTCAGTACCACCAAAAAAAAAAAAAAAAAAAGAAAAAGTCTATGTCACTTGGGCAATGATGAGGCGCACCCGTAATTTCAGCACTGGAGATGCTGAGGCAGAAGGATTGCTACAAGTTCTAGGCCAGTCAGAGATGGTGGATGGTAGGAGTCGATTTACTGAATTTTCAAGCCGCTCTAGCTATAGGAGAGACTTGTCTCTAATCTTTTTGGGGTAGGGAGGGGTTGCATGATTTCTTTTGAGATGGGTCTTCTCATGAAGCCTAGGCTGTGGCTTCCAGCACCACTGCCTGGGCCTCCCAGGGTTAGGGTTAGAGTTAGCACTAGTATAGCAGGAAAATAACCCCATTATCAGGAAATCCCAAAATACTCACTGTGTGTGTTTGTGTATATGTGTATATGTATATTCACACAAATAATTCTTCCTAACTCATTTGAGTGTGTTCATCATTTTCATAATGTAATACACTAAGTATTTTAGTGGTGTGTGCGTGCGTGCGTGTACATATTAAGAAGGAGGGAAAGGGAGACAGAGAATAAAGCTGGAGAACACAAGAGAGGAAGAGGAACACTTGTACATGATTAAACAGGGCTGGGGATACAGCTCAGGGCTTGCCCTAAGTTTGCTTTCTGTTGCTGTGACAATAAAATATTCTGAAGAAACACAGGGAGGAAAAGATTTAGTTGGCTTACACTTCAGCTCACAGCCCATCACTAAGACAGTCAAGGCAGCTCCACCAGCCAGAACCTGAAGCAGAAACCACAGAGGTGTGCCCTTGGCTTGTTCACTGGCTTCTGCTCATGTGCATTTCTTATACAGCCCAGGACCAGCAGCCTAGGGATGGTACTGAACACAGACAGCGGGCTGGCCCTCCTAAATCAAGACAGTGCCTACGGAAAACCCACAGCCCAATCTGAAGGAGGCGTCAACTGAGGTCGCAAGGACTGAACTCAGATTGCAGGGCTTGGTTGGGAAGCTTTTGCCTGCTGCTTGTTTGTTTTTTGAGACAGGGTTTCTCTGTGTAGCCCTGGCTGTCCAAGAACTTGTTCTGTAGATCAGGCTGGCCTCGAACTCACAGATATCCACCTGCCTCTGCCTCCCAAGTGCTAGGATTAAAGGTGTGCGCCACCACGGCCCGGCTTCCCCTGCTTCTCTTTCACAAAATATGCTAAGAAAGTGTCGTTGCACACAAGATTAACACTTTCCTTTGCTCGGTCTGGATCAGAACTGGCAGAAAAAAAAAAAAAAAAAAAAAAAAAAAAAAAAGCTGCTTAGCAAAGAGAGCAGAAACATTCCTACCATCGCATCACACTTGCAGTTTCCATCCTGCAAAGTTGTGTGGAAAACATTAGCTTATAATACACAGGTAAAATTCCTGTTTTCCAACAAGATGCCTCAGGAGGTAAACACTCCTGCTGAGCAAGCCTCAGTACCTGAATTCACTGCATGGAATCTGGCAGTGGATGAGAACTGACTTGTCCTTGTCCTTGGACCACCATGTGTGCTCTGCCACATCCCAATACCTGGCCTCTCCCTCTCTCCCTATCCCTCTCCCACTCCACCCCCACCACACATAGAAAACAATAAATCGAATGTAATTAAGGTACATTTAATTCCATTTTAAAAGGAACATAGGGTCTGCTGAGATAGCTCGATCAATAAGTAGAGTGCTCACACCCAAGCATAAAGCCTGGAGTACCCTCCCACTACCCACGGGCAAAGCTGGGGATGGTGTAGTCCCAGCTTGTAGTCCCAGCTTCCATCCCTGTAGCCCTCTGGCCACTCAGATGAGCTTGCTTAGTCAGCTCCAGGTGTAATAAGACATGCTGTCTCAAAAGCCAACAAACAACAAAGGCGGCTGATGTCCACAGAATGCTGCTCGAGATTGTTTCCTGGCCATACACATGTACATACACACAACCCAAGAAATACAGAGCTTGGAGGTAGATGAATGGGTAAAATACTTCCTATGATAGGGGAACGGCCTGAGTATGGAGGGCCAGGCATGGTGACACACGTGTATAACCCCAACCAGGGAGTAGCTGGGGGAGGGGGGCGGGGATATAGATGCAGGAAGATCCTGGGAATTCACTGACCAGCCAGTCTGCCTGAATGGTCAGTTCTAGATTCAATGAACTAAGGTGGAGAGCAATAGAGGAAGGTACCCAAAGTCAATCTCTAGTCTGCACACTCACACAGTAAGTGAGCAGTTATCTACATCAGGTTAACTGAAGTGGAAAGACCCACAGTAAATGTGAGCAATACGGTTCCTGGGCTAGGGCGGCAGACTCAATGAAAAGAAGGGCCAATGAGGACACTCAGCAGGCAAAGGTACTGGCCACCCAGCCTGGCAACCGCGTTCAATCCCCACCCCGCACAGCGCTGAGTCCCACAGCGTGTACCCTGACCCTCACACTACTTCATGTGGGTAGCAAGCTGAGCACAAGTATTTACTGTTCTCTGCTTCCCGACTGGATGCAATGTGACTGACTCTCCCATTCCTGAGCTGTACTTTCCCCCACGATGGACTGTGCCCTTGGAACTGCAGCTCAAATAAGCCTCTCTTAAGGAAATTTTGCTGCAGCAAGGCAAGTAACTGACACGCAGCTCAGAACACTAAAGGAGCCCAAGACTGCTCAGGACAGATCCCACTACCATCACCACCAACGGAACTACATCCACCAACAAGTAGGCTCAAACACAGCTCTTATATATTGAAAATAATACACACACATGCATGTCAATATATATATATATATATATATGTATGTTTTTGTTTTACCTTCCAGAGCTCAATGGCCACGGGCTGGTGTGGGGGGCGGTCACAGTACATATATATATATGTGTGTGTGTGTGTACATACATACATACATACACGTGTCTTACCTTCCAGAGCTCAATGGCCACGGGCTGGTGTGGGGGGTGGTCACAGTATATATCTTCCACAGCTTTTCTCCAGAACTGCATTCGCATCAGTCCGATTGTTTTCTCAGAGACTGAGTCCTTCACCTGGAAACAAGAGCTTAGAAACTCAGTTCTGAGCTGCTCTGGTACTGTGGATCCCAAATCTGCAACTTGATTTCTTTTGGTGACTAACTTCAAATACCCAACATCAATTATATGAGGACAGCCAGCCACACATTTCCCCCTCAAAACTAATGATGAGTCAACAGCCTGGAGAGATGGCTCAGCAGTTGAGGGCGCTTGCTGCTCTGACAAAGGCGTTGTTTCCCAGCACCCATGTGGTGGCTCACAACCATCTGTAACTCCAGTTCCAGGGGAACCACATCCACTTCTGGCCTCCATGGGCACCAGGCACATATGCAGTGTACATACATACATGCTGGCAAAAAGGCTCATACATGTAACATTTTCAAAAAACCTTCCTTTAAAATGATAAACCAAGGAAGATTTTCCTACTCTCATACCCCTTTATGTAAGAGTGATTGCGTGGAGCTTGGCATGGCATACACCTTTATCCCCGGCACTTGGAAGGCAATGGAAGAAGGTTCTTTGTAGTTGGAGGGCAGCCTGGTCTACACAGCGAGTTCCAAGAAAGCCAGGGATGCATAGTGAGTCCTTATCTCAGAACAAAATGAAAACAGAGTAACTGGATGGTGCAGATGCCTCCGTGTCCCTGGGGAGCTGCTGGTTGGTAGCTTCGAAACTTTCCAGGGAAGTGTAGCTGAGGAGAGGGACAGACTGACTGGGACAGAGGACAGTAGCCAAGGCTCCAGCGGAAGGTGAGCTGCCAGGAGATGCACATGCTCAGCACTAGCAGTGGCAATAGCCTGATCTACACATGAATTAAGCTCACTCATATGGCTGAGTGTGTTGTGGTATGCGTACATGTACCACTTTCTTCAAGACCCCACACTCCCTAGTCCTTATTTCCAATATCTGACCTCTCCACTTGCTGTCCTGAGAAGACCAGGAACCTTTCACACAACTTCACATGTTTGCATCTGCCCATGTTCTGTCCACTTGAGGAAAAAGGCTCTAGTCTTCCCTTGTAATCCCGAGACAGAAACCAGCAGGGGTCTCCTAGACTTTCTGTGTTCTACCATGGAGGTCTGCCAAAATACTATCAATCTTCACTTCATATTAAATTTCAACCTTTTCCAGTTTTCTATGCACACACAAAGTATGTAACTGTTAAGAGAAAGCAGTACGATTCTCATTAGTTTATTCGATTAACAGAAAATGCTAACTGCAAATTTGTAATATCCTCAGGAAAACTTAAAAATCCAGAATCATTTCCAGAAACATTCAATTCATCAGCTAGTTTTATTTTTCGGTAGTGAATTAAGCCTAAGCAGTAGAAAACATAAACACTAGCAGCGACTTTAAGTACATCTAACATGAATTACTCTGTCTCGATTGTTCAGTACTAAGCATGTCCTACAAGCATCTTGTCACATTATTTTAATACCAGCCTGAGCCAGTTCCACATTGAAGGCCCTCAGTGCAGACACAGAGCTTCGACATCCTGCAGGAAACAGCAGGGAACACAAGTAACTTTCATAGTCCCGCTTCCTACAACACACAGAGCACAGAAAGGAAAGTAGTTAGCCTTCACTAAGTTGCACACAAAATACTGACAAAAAACAATGGAAACAAGCTTTGGTCCACAGTAGGCCTTGTTCTTAAATTATATAAGTTTCTCTACAATTACTTTTTTAAAATGTGGCTGCTTCTCATCCCCAACATGTTAAAAAGGAAATCTATGTTTTATTTTTATTTACAACTTAGCCAGGGTTTCTCAACCTGTGGGTCACTCACTACCCCTTTGCGTTGAATGATGCTTTTAAAGGGGTTGCCTAAGACCAATGGAAAATACAGAAATTTACATTATGATATATAACAGTAGCAAAATTACAGTTATGAAATAGCAATAAAAATAATTTTATGGTTGAGGGTCACCACGACCTGGGTATTAAAGGGTCACAGCGTTAGGAAGATTGAGAATCACTAGCTTAGAGGTCCTTGACACCAGGCATTTTTAAAATCAGGTGCTGGGGATGGAGAGATGGCTCAGCAGTTAAGAGCACAGGTTGCTCTTCCAGAGGACCCTGGTTTGATTCCCAGCATCACAACTGTTCCAGGGGGTCTGATGTCCTCTTCTGACCTATGGCACCAGGCATGCACAAGGTGCGCATACATAAATACATTCAGTCAAAACACATAAACATAAAATAAAATAAACACATCTTTTAAAAAAATGAACAAACAAACAAACACCTGGTGCATAGACCTTTAGTCCTGGCACTTGGGAGGAGGAGACAGGCAGATCTCTGTGACTTCCGGGTCAACCTGGTCTACATAAAGACCCTGTCTCAGCCCAATGGTGGTATCACACTCCCTTAATCCCAGACTCTGGAGGCAGAAGTGAGTTCAAGACCAGCCTGGTCTACAGAGTGAGTTCCAGGACAGCCAAGACTGTTAAACAGAGAAACCCTGTCCGAAAAACTTAAAAACAAAAAACCCTGTCTCAAAACAAAAACTGTACCAGATACCACTTTTAGCAAGGAAGGGTAAATCGTCTATGAAAGAACTCCAAGCTATCTTTCCTGGTACCACATCAATAGAACATAAGTCATGAGACTGTACTAGTAAATCTCGGGCAAATTCCTTGTTTCCTTCATCTGACATGAAGTGAAGATAATAACCTAACTCTGTGCCACACACTGATCTAATTGTTAAACTTTATTTTTTTAATTATATTTTTTATGTATATGCTTACACATGTCAATGCACCTCGTGCCTACCTAGTGCCTAAGAACGCCAGAGGGGATTGGCCCTCCTGGAACTGGAGTTACAGGCAGTTGTGAGCTGCCATGTGGGTGCTGGGAATCGAACCCACATCCTCCAGATCAGCCTGCGCTCTTAACTGCTGACCCCATCTCTCCAGGTCCTAAATGCTACTTCTTACAACCCTTGATGGGAGTTGCAATTTGTAAAGGCCATTAAGTTAGTTGGATTACGTTTTTGTAAACAATTTTTAGTAGGGTTTCATGAGGGTGACGTGCGGCCAAAGATGACCTTGAACACCACCACCCGTCCCTTCGCTCCCCCCCCCACCTCGATCCAGTCTCCTAAGGTCAGTCACAGGCGTGTGTGCCAGGTTTGTGAGGCGCCGTTGATCTAACGAACCCTCGTGCATGCTAGGCAAGCACTTCACAAACGGGGCTAAATCCGTAGCCTCCGTGAAACAGGCTTTAGTGAAACAGGCTTTAGTGAAACAGGCTTTAGTGAAAGAGGCTTTAGTAGTGCAGTGCACACGGAACCCAGAGTCATTTAGCGGCGGTAAAGTCACTCGCTGTCCCTGAATAGAAAGTGCTCAGCACGCAAAATTGCAAGGTGACGTGTTAGGCAGAGGACGAAGTCCTGCCAGGGTTCCACGGCCACGTGAACAGACACCCGCGCGGAGCCCGGCAGAACGCAGGACCCGGAGGACGCAGCCCCAGCTCGGGGCTCAGCACTGCCGGCCCCGCAGGCCCCGGGCTCTCGGGGATGCTCACCGCAGCAGCTGCAGGCAGTAGTGGTGGGAACCCGGGCCGCCGGGCCCGCTGGCCGCCGCCACGCTGCGCAGGACTGCCGAGGGCCCCGGGGGCCGCCGCACACGCTCCCACGCATCCCGAGGCGGCCGGCGGCGGAACAGCCCCGCCAAACCCAAAGGCCTCGGGCCGCCGACAGAACCGAGCATGGAGGTCGCCATGACACCCGCGTCGCGCGTGCCCTCCGACCCCGAGGCCACGCCCCCGGCAGCGCCACGCCCCCGGCAGGTCCCCGCTTGCATCCCGGCCAAGATGGGACGGACCAGAGCCAGGTGTCGCTGTGGGGCCACGCGCTGGCTGTAGGGCTGTCTCTCCAGCGCCATCCTCTCCCCGCCTTCCCCGAGACGCCCCGCCGTCCTCCTTCCGTCTTGGCTCTGCCGAAGCCTGCCGTACTGAATGCCCACTGCTCACCCTCACGTTCCCAGAGGCCTCCCCGTGTTGCCCTGAGTGGGTACCACTGGGTATCCCTGCAGCTCCAAGAGAGAAACACAAAGATGCTTGGCAGACGCCAACAGGTTCTGCCGCCGTTATCAAACACCAAATCACCAGCCGTAGTCACTTGCTGTTGGTGGTCTCTCAAACAGCCCAAGAGGGCGGGGTCATTACTTTGTTTCCTTTGACCATTGCAGAAGCCGACTTGTCTCTGCTTATATGAAGGCAAGCTCAAAGCCTGGGAGTACACATTTGTAATGCAAACACTAAAGAGGCTCAGATGAGAGAGTTGAGTGTTCGAAGCCAGCCTATGCTACACAGTGAGGCTGAAGCAAGACAGAAGGAGATAATTGTATAAATATGATCTTAGTCAAATTATCTGATATCAAAAGTGACTTTGATCTCTGAGTACTTTCATTTAGAGTATAATCAAAACAGGAAGCTCATTGCCTGTGCAAAAGAAATGTTAGTGGACACAGAAGAAGTATTTATTACCTGGGCCTTAAGACGAATTGGTTGCCCACTATGACTGCTTTGGTGATCACTCTGTGGTGGTGGCTAGAACTGATCTGTGCTGTGCACAAGACATAATGCCACATTTCCCCAAATATAACCCAGTTTTCATTGTTCTCTGGCTGATTAATAACTACACTGTAAAGAGTTATGTCTTACTCTTCTAAATGTTATTCCACCTCTGGTTTATTTTCTCATAGTTCCGAGTTCAGTACGCCAGCATTTTTTGTGTCCTGATGTTGGGTGCAGCCAACAGAATGTGTCCTCTACAGAGACAGCCAGTGCTCTCAACCCTTGCCCAACAAAACAGACTTCCTCACTATGGAAACTGCAGTGGTTCTCATTTGTAATCAGAGCACTTGAGCTATAGAAGTAGGGGATCAGGAGTTCAAGGCCATTCTCACCTCTATGCTGAGTTAGAGACCAGCATGGGCTACCTAAACCTGTCTCAACTCTCTCCTTGCCATACCCCCAGCCCCCAAAAGACAAAGCACAGGTAAATGCATAAAAATATGTCATACTAATACCTGTCATGTAAGCAATTACTGTCCATATTTTGGTATGTTCCCTTTTATGCATAGGTTTTTGTTTGGTTTCACAAACTGCCTGTCCAATGTTACCTGACTTGTCTAATCTCATATACATCCTTGCACAATTATTTTGTTCATTTCCAGATATTTAAAAGGCATCTGTTATGTGCTTACACAGGTTCAACAGCTAGGATGCCAGGATGTACACACATGTTCAAAGGCTAGGATGCCAGAATTATACACAGGCTCTGTGTTGACCTCCTCTGCTCCTCTTCCTCCTTATGCACTGAGATAGTCTCACCATGTAGCCCTGGGCTTCACTAAGTAGACCAGGCTGACCTCAAAAGCAGATACCTGTGAGCTGCCCCTGCCTCCCAGGTGTCCTTTTAATTAGCTTCTGCTGCGGCTGTGTCCACACACAGAGAACCTTTGTCGTCTGTAAAACCAATACTAACAATAAGATAAAATTTTAAGCAAATAAAAATGATCACAATAAATAATTATAAAACATGGCAATTGCTATTGTATTAATAAGAATATATGTTGCCAGGTGTGGTGGTACTCAACTTGAATCCCAGCACTGGGGAGGCAGAGGCAGGGGGATTTCTGAGTTTCAGGCTGGCCTGGTCTACAGAGTGAGTTCCAGAACAGTCAGACCTACACAGAGACACCCTGTCTCAAAAACCCACAAAAAGAAAGACAGAAGGGAGGAAGGGACAGAGAGAGAGAGAGAGAGAGAGAGACAGAGAGAGAGAGAGAGAGAGAGAGAGAGAGAGAGACTTAGGGTTCCTATTGTTGTGATGAAACACGGTGAGAAACAGCAAGCTGGGGAGGAAAGGGTTTATTTGGCTTACACTTCAGCACTACTGTTTATCACTGAAGGAAGTCAGGACAGGAACTCAAACAGGGAGGACCCCAAAGGAAGGAGCTGATGCAGAGGCCATGGACGGCTGCTTACTGGCTTGTTTCCCATGGCTTGCTCAGCCTGTTTTCTAAAAGAACCCAGGACCACCAGCCCAGGCATGAACCCACCCACCATAGCCTGCCCCCCCCCACTGATTACTAAATGAGAAAATGTCTTACAGCTGCATCTCAAGGAGTTATTTCCTCAACTGAGGCGCCTTCCTCTCGGATGACTCTACAGCTTGTGTCAAGGTGACACACAAAACCACCCAGTACCCAGTACAACTGACCCCTTGTCAACTTGACACACAGACACACCGCTATTAAGCCACAGCCCTTCCTGTCTTACTCATCCCCATGATCTTAAATAACTTAAAAAGTCCTACAGGCTTTACACATTCAAACACATTAAAATGTCAGTTCCTTTAAAACAGTCAGTCTCTGTAAAAATCCAAAGTCTTATAAAATTCAAGTCTCAACCATGGGCTGCAGTGAAATACATTCTTACTTCAAGAAGAAAGAACGAGCACAGTCACGATTAAATCAAAGCAAACCCAAACTCCAACCGTCCAGTATCTGGGGTCCACTCATGGTCTCCTGGGCTCCTCCAGGGAGCTTGGGTCACTTCTCTGTTCCCCCCCCCCCCCCCCCGCAGCACACCCAGCTGTCCTCTAGGCTCCGGCTGGCTCCACTCCACCGATGCTGCTGCTCTTGGTGGTTTTCCCATGGCACTGGCGTCTCCAAAACAACTGGGCTGCACTTTGATCCACAGCCTCTTATAGTCTCTCCTCATGACGCCAGGCCTCAGCTTCATTGCAGGACTGTTGAGGCTGCACCTTTACCAAAGGCCTACCCGGCCTCTCACAGTGCCCAGCCTTAGCTGCTCTCCATGACCCCTTCGTGCTTTCAAAACCAGGACCACCTGGGTTACACTTACACATCACGGAGTGCAGCTGCCAGCCTAAGTACAAGGTCAGTCACCTCCGCAGCACAGCTTCCCTGTGCTCTCAGGAAACACTTCCAGAAGGTTCCATCTCGGTGATGCTGGTCTCTTCTTAATCATCACTAATTTCTTAGCTCCAGCCAACCAGCATCCATTGTCGCTGTAACATAAAGGTTTCACATCAGTAGTTCTGGTCTCTTGTTAATCACAGATGATTCTTCAGACCCAGCTAACCAGGACTATACAGGATCTTAATTCAAAATAACAAATGGCCCCAATAGTCTTTAATCTTCCTTCTGAAATGGCACAAGCCAGACTCCATCTTCCACACTGCTCTCAACATTCTTATCTACAAAGCTTCCAAAGAACATCCCATTGGGGACCTCAGCATTCAGTGGCTTTTCTAGCCCAAAGCCATGGAGGGGTGCTGCCTATTGGCTGGCTTCCCATGGCTTACTCAGCCTTTCTTTCTCTTCCTTTCGTTCTTCCTTTTCCTTCCTTCCTTTCTTTCTGTTGTTTTTGTTTTTTTGAGACAGGGTTTCTCTGTGTAGCTTTGTAGACCAGGCTGGCCTTGAACTCACAGAGATCCACCTACCTCTACCTCCCGAGTGCTGGGACTAAAGGTGTACACCACCACCGCCCAGCTTCAGTCTGCTTTCTTGTAGAATCCAGGACCACCAACCCAGGCATGGCACCACCCACCGTGGTCTGAACTCTCCCCCATTGGTCAGTAAATGAGAAAATGCCTTACAGCTGGATCTCATGGAGGGACTTCCTCAGCTGAGGCTCCTTCCTCTGATGACTCTATAGCTTGTGTCAAGTTGACACACAAAACCAGCCAGTACAGAAAGAAAGAAAGAAAGGAAGGAAGGAAGGAAGGAAGAAAGAAAGAAAGAAAGAAAGAAAGAAAGAAAGAGAATATAGGTAGTCTACTCAAGTAGCACAGAAAATGAAAGGGACTTGGAAAATGTTAACTCTCAAACAGCAGGAGTGGGGGGGGGTGAGCAATCAAGCCCCCCCCCAATTCGGTTTGAATAGGAAATGTCTCCCAAGGCTGGATGCTGCTCCTCAGCTGTTGGTGCCGTTCTGGGAAGTCCTGGGATCTTTAACAGTAGGGACTTAGCTGGAGAAGTAGCTCAATAAGGTCCCGACCTGTTCCCACCTCTAGTTGGGCCTGCACTCCCTGTTTTCTGGTCCATGGCATGTGAGACACCACCACTGCCTGCCCCTGCTGCCATGTGGCGCCACCGTGATGGTCTCCTCCGTCTGACTCCATGAACCGGAATAAGCCTTTCTCTCGGGGTTGTCTACAGCGGGGCTTTTGCTACAGTAAGAAGAGTGATCATTGCATCCCCAGCCCCAGACAAGCTGCATGCCTGTGGCTGGCACCCTACCCACACTGCCGTCATCCGCGTTTTTAAAAAGGCAGGGTCTTGAGACATTGTCACTTTTGGCTTGGCATTCCCTTCGGCAGCCCTCACACTTACAGCAATCCTCCTGACCCACCTCACAAACACTACGTTATAACTGTGTGCCACCATGCCCGGCATTTAGATTGTTTTGTTTTAATGCATTGTGATGCTGGGCACTGAAGCCAGGGCTTTCCGTTAGACAAGGGAATGACCACTAATTCCATCTCTGTTAGTTTATTTCTGTTTTATTTTGAGACAAGCCTCACTAAGATATGTAGGCTGGCCTTGAACTCCAGATCTTCCTGCCTCAGCCTCCAAGGCCCACCTCACCCACATTATTCAACTGGTAATAACTGGGGGAGACAAACGTGTACCTTGTCCGGTGTCTCTACAATCTGCATCATCTCTATCTCTATTTTTACTGCCAGGCAAAGACTGAGTGGAAAGACTGTTCCACAAGAGGG